CTGGAGACAAATATTGTATTTCAGCATGCAGCAAAAACGGTTTTATTAGTATCATACAGAATATTAAAAGACATGTATTCAAGGGTCAAGATCTAATAAAATTAATATTTACCATGTCACCAAGGACATTTTAAAGAGAGTACGTGGTAGTGAAGAATAAAATGATTACTTTAGTTTGGTGCCTTGATTTCTGTGCTAAAGGGCCAGCACTTTTACCTACAATTGCTTTTGCATCATCAGTATAAATGCCAATACAGTGAAAAAGGCAAACAATGTATCAGTATTATTGCAAGAATAGTTTTGATCTCCTGGACTTTCTGCAAGTTTTATTTTGGAGTCACCAGGCGTCTTGCTGGCTACATTTTGAGAACTAATGATTGAGGTGAAAGATGATGCTGGTTTGGACCAGGATAGCAGTGATGGAAGTAGTTAGAACTATTTTGGTTCTGGATATATTTTAAAGGTAGATCTGATAAAGTTTGTTGGCCAGCTTGGATGTGGAGTTGAGGATAAAGGTCAAGGATGACCTTAAGTTTTCTGGCCTGAGCTAATAAAAGAAGAAATTCCATTAAGTGAGGTAGAGAAAGATAGCAGAAGCAGGGTTTGGGGAAGATGAGAAATAGTTCTGAAACATGTTAAGTTTCAGATGCCCAGGAGACATCTAAGTAGACATGTCATGTAGGCGGTTGGCTATAGTCTGTAGTGGGAGATAGATGGCTGGAGAACACGCTGAGGAATCATCAACATCTAGGTATTTAAAACAGTAAGACTGGATAAAATCACCAAGGGAGGGAAGATGGGCAGAAGAGATCTCAGGATTAGGGTGCCAACATGTAAAGGTTGAAAAGTGAGGAAAAGCCAACAAAGGAAACCAAAGAGTGGTCCAGGAGGAAGGAAGAGAGTGGGGAAAGCCAAGATGAATGTTTCCAGGAGCATGATCATCAGCATCCAATACTACTGGTAACTCAAATAAAATGAGGGCTGCGAATTGGTTACTGGAATTACCAACATGCACACTTCACTGGTGACCGTGTTAAGAGTAGTTTCAATGAAGTGACAGAGGCAGTAATCCTGGTGAGCATGGGCTTAAAAAAATTTCTATGTCAATGCTCATAATGGCTTCAGCCTGGAAACAATCCAAATGTTCACCGACAGGTGAATGGATAAACAGACGAGTAGAATTTCATTTATAAAATGGAATACTATTCAGTAATAAAAGAGCACTGTTGACACACATAACCATGATGAATCTCAAAAAACACTGTGCTAAAAGAAGGTGGGATTGAAAGAGTACATACTATATGACCCCACTTACATGAAGTTCTAAAACAGGCAAACAAATTTATCTTGATGGAAATCAGGATAGTGTTTGCTTGGAAAAGGGAGTGGGGATACATGTTGACTGCAAAGTAGCACAAGAAAACTTTTTGGTGTGAAATAAGTGTTCTAAATATTAACAGGGGTGATGAGTATATGCATACATTTGCCAAGTCATACTGTATACTTAACGTGTATTTTATTTTATATAAATTATACCTCAATACAGTTGTTCAAAAAATGGGAAGAGAAGAAGCAGAGACCATGAACATGGAAAACTCTTTGAGTGGTCTCAATGTAAAAGGAAAACTAGAAATGTGGCAATAGCAGAGGGAAAAGTGGAGTTAAATTTTTTTCCATCATAGGAGCACCTGGGTGGCTCAGTTGGTTAAGCGTCCCACTCTTGAATTCAGCTCAGGTCTTGATCCCAGGGTCATGAGTTCAAGCCCTGTGTTGGGCTCCATGTCCAGCATGAAGTTTACTTAAAAAAAATATATCATCGGTGAAATAATAGCCTATTTGTATGTTAACTGGAGAGAGGTGGAGGGAAAATCTAATGATACAGGGGAAACATGCTGAAGCAATTAACTTTGAACTACTCAGAGGAGATGTGGGACACAGGGAGAGAAGCTGGCTTAGCTAGAAGCAATGGAAGTTCACTTAGTGGGGAGGCAATGTACAGGCATAAATATTGGCTGGGGCATGCGGTATGGAAACCTGTAGAAGTTCTCAGATTCATCCTACTTTCTTGGTAAAACAGGAAACAAGGACTTCAGCTGAAAGAATGAGGAGGATGTTCTGGAGGTTGGAGGAGAGAAGGTATAAAATAGTCACTGAGGAGTCTGTGAGATAAACAGACCAGGGAAATGACTATTGGACACCTGAGATTAGGAGTCATAAATTTTAGACCATCAGAATGGTTGAGTGTTTTCCTCCAGCCTCACTGAGCTGCGTATGTGCAGTCATGTGTTTGGGTTAGAAGCAGAACTGTGGTTTAGTCAAGAGTACAGAAAGGTGAAGGAGAGGTGAAGAAGTTGCAGCTATATGAAAGGGGGTGTTTAGAATGATGGACTATGGATTTTAAACTGATCTGAGAGAGAGGTGTAAACATGAAGAGGTGAGGGACGGAAGACATGTGGTATGAATGAATGGATTTTGGTCTTGGTGGAGTTGAAGAATTGCTGGAATGGATTACAAAAGAGAGTGTGCTGAAAAGAGGTAGTCAGAATGATACTTAATGTTGAGATTTATACAGGAGTTTGAGTTCTGGTTTGGCCAGTTCTACAGGATGACCATAGGAGGGGCTGAGTTAAGGTAAAAGGCAAGATCACTGGATGAGGTCAATGAGACAAAAGGTCAGCGTATAAGAGGGTCATTCACAGGAAATCTTACATCGCACTGATTAAGCAGGAGCAGTGTGGGGCAGCGGTGGCAGTTAAAACTTTCAAGGAATGGAGATCAATCTGGAGGTGGAGAGCTGATCGGTAAGATGGTTTGTGTTACAGTCTTGATGACAAAGGATAAAGATGGGAGGAGGTAGGAAGGATTTTGGAGAGAATGGTCTTTTAACTGACAACCAAAAGCAAGGAAGTCACTCATTGCACATCCAAGTGTAGGGAGGTAAGTGGTGTGGGAGAGGACAGTTTTTAAGAGGCCTATTTAAGAGGCCTTCGGGGGAAGCAATGTCCTCAGGAGGGCAAGGGAGCTCAGCGCAAAAAGAGGAGACATACAGAACTGCACAGGGATAGGAGATTGGGATGCAGAACAAGGGAGGCTGGGGCTTCATCTTCCTTTACTATTTAAGCTATTGTTATCTTAATTTTAAAAAATTACAATGAACTCAATGATAGACTATTTTTGTTTATATTTAGCTATACTCTAGAGCTAAATAAATGCTAACTGTCCCACATTAGCCAAGATGTTAAGGCACTATATGAAAACTGTTTCTTTGGTAGGCTTTTTTTTTTGCACCCAAAACTTTATTGGAAAGGACAAGTGAATTGCTAAGACACTTTACTTCGCTTATTCATCATTCTGCTTGGAAAAATTTGCCTTTACTTTATAGTAAGGAAACAAACACAAAATCATTAAAAATACATGAGCCTCCAAGGCAACATGGCTTCATATGATAGCTGGGCAGGGACTTTACATATCATCCCATGGGGCCTTGTGCATTAATACAACAGGAACACCACATTCTAGGGTGAGAACCAAGCAAGGCAGGCATTGGGAGCCTCAAGGCATGTTGGAAAGTGCTGATATAAAGCAATTTCCCCAACTGTCTCTCCTAATGTTGGCAGTTAGTTTTGGGTCCAGAACCCTTTTAAGACACCCAGAGATTAGTAAGATTCACAGAAGTCCTTCATTAGTTTAGTTTGTAGCTCGTGGGTGGGGTTCAACCATCTCTAACTTTGAAAAGTTGTTTGCACCTCTCTCTGGTCTTATTAAAACTTTTTTTTTAAAAAGATTTTATTTATTTGAGAGAGAGAGCACAAGAGGGGGGAGGGTCAGAGGGAGAAGCAGACTCCCTGCTGAGCAGGGAGCCCGATGTGAGACTCGATCCTGGGAGTCCAGGATCATGACCTGAGCTGAAGGCAGTCGCTTAACCAACTGAGCCATCCAGGTGCCCTTATTAAAACTTTCTAAATCAAGTTGATAATCAGCTTCAAAGTTTTGTACTAATTTCCTTTGCACAGGGCACTGTTATAATTCCAGACACCAGTCTCAATTATGTAAGTACTGTATCTATATATATTTTAAATTAGGGTAAGTCTTGGTTAATCCTCTAAGTCTCATAAATGAAGTACAATCTAGTTGCTTAGCTTCAAGTCTGTAAAAACTGTAGTCTTTGTAATGTGTTCTATTGGGTGTATATTCTCTGCCACAGCCATTAATGAATCTTGTGAAGAAATATTCTACTTACACTATTAGTGAGTAAGTATTGCTCAATATGAGCAATGGGGTCGATGTGGCCCCAGGCTATAGTTTGCCAACCCACAGTAGGCAATGCTTGACCTCAGCTATCTCACTGACCTTGCCTTTCATCAGAGATCCAAATTCCGTGACAGTATTGTATATTTAATATGTTTTTGAGATATTCTTCACAGAAAAATCTGAATCTCTAGATGTTTTGGATCTATGCTACAGCCAAGCAGCCTAAATGATCACTTCCGGCATGACAGGCAGGAGCTAAGTGATAGATGATCCTGTTTTAATCTTTCCTATTCAGAGTTTTTAGCAGTACTGGTAGCACACTCCCTCCACTTGATATTTGACTGGTCAGGTTAGTATGGGCTGATCTCAAGTCAGTAACTTCACACAATACATTTTAGATATTCCACTTTAAAAAGAAAGAAAGGTAGAATAATGGAAAACACAGGTGGACCAGATTGGTTAATCTAGATTAAGTGGTAAGAAGCAAATAACCCTGTAGGACCAGAATTACTTGTCCTCCCTCTCAAACAGGGATCATTTCAAAGTGAAATGACAGCTCCCTCATTTATTTCACAATGTATTCCTAGCACTTGGGGCTCCTTATTGGACCACTTTGTGCAATGCTGTACACCTTCAAGAGTTGTTTTGCTGAAACACTCCTTCCAGAAAATACTGTTCTAGTAAACAGAGATGACTAGTTGGATGCATCCTACACATTACAAAATAACAATGTTAATTTCACAAAGAAAAACAGGAGGGAAAATGTATTTTCTTAATGGAAATGAAATAAAATCCTTGGCACAGAGTAGTTTGCTATCCATAAATGTACATCTGTCACAGCATGAAAGGACAGTGTATCATTGTCATAGGCTATGAAGTTTTAATTTTTTGTAGCAGTTTAACGGCTGAAATTCTAATCAAAGAGCTAACATCTGGATTCTCATGTTCTCTTAAAATGTTTGGCACACATTAGAATGTTTCAGCCTGGGAAGGCAAACTGAAAAGAACAGAGATCTACCAACTATGGTTGGCCTATTTATAACCAGGAGAAAATCAAAAGAGCCACTAGGTGAAAATCCTAGGCAAATCTAACAAGAGTTTTTAAAAAAAAAATCATTTTTGAGAAATACTTTTTTAAATAGTAAAAAATATTTTGTTATGCACTTACATGAAAGAAAAATAAAGCAAAAAAATTAGACAGTTTTTGGTTACTTTAAAAACCCATTAAATCTTTTCACAGGGGTTCCTTATTTTTATCACTCTTCCACACTCAAATTTGTACATGAAGTCATTCCAGACAAAATTTAAAGTACTTTGAGCTGTATTATAAGCACCACATATTTCTATTAATGTTCTAAATCAAAAACAAGTTGGCTGGTTTAACCCCAGTGAAAAAAGAAATCATGCTTATATAAGAACAAGACTTAAAAGATGATGGTCTGAAATACATCATTTGAAGGGGTTAATTTTCCCATTGCTAGTAGTCCAGTTTTCTAAGACCAAGAGACAATTTTCAAAATAGTTTTTGCTATATTAAATATTAATTTCTGTTAAAATTTTCCCACCCATTCATGTACTTAAGGGTAGTATTCGATTCCCCAACGAATCTAACGTAGATAGCACATATTCCATGAAAGGGATCCTTGACTGCCTAATGATACAACCACCTAGCATTTACTGAGTGTCTTCTATGTGCCAGCCACTGACTGAAGTAGTTGAAATGTATTAACTCATGAACTGGCACATTCACAAAGGGAGAGAGAGGTTAAGGAACATGACTGAGATCCCATAGCAAGTAAGAGCTGTCACCAGAGCCTGCACCTAGGCAGTGACTCCAGAGCTCACACTGCTCAACACTACGCTATGCTGCCTTGTGTATGTCTTAGTTTGAAAAAGAACCAGCTGTTAACTGAAAAAAAGTATATAACCTAGTTGTCCTTAAATCTGTTTTCTTAACGATGATTCCTTTGTTAAGACTTGTTTTAAATGCTTCTGATTTTATAAAAGGCTTTAGTATGTTAAAATACCATTTTATAATGCTAATAGTTGTACATATTTTATTGAATGTTTTCTATTCTGCATTTCAAATTGAGTCAATAACTGTAAATAACACAACTGTAGGTATACTAACAGTTACATGTTTAACTCTGCACATAAATCTAGTTTGAAAAAGATAACATATTTGTAAATAAGTACTTATTTTGCCCAACCTTTAAAAACTTGTATGAAACCTAGGATACATATATTGATGTTAAGATTTCCTGGGCAGTACTAGAAAATTGTATGGTGAAAGAATATTTGCAAAGAGAAAAGAAGCTACAAAACAAGAAGTTCAGAACTAGAGGATAATCAACTAAGCTGTCTTTCAAATATGATCTGTGTGACATTCTTTTCCATATTTTAGTCCCTCCCACTTGTTCTTTAATTATATTCTGATATTCTAGCAAATAATACAATTAAAAACTACTCCTCAGAGTAGAAATCTGCAATAAAATGTATAATAGCTTGTGTAGTTACTAGTTTAATAAAACATTATCTAAATAACTAATCAGTTACTAGTGTTTAAAATTTATAGCAAGAAACATTAAAAACAACAAAAGACTATCTCTGTTTCAAATTTAGGCCTATTTAAATGATTTTCAGTATAGCTAAACTCAATATAATGGTTACATTTAGTAAAATCTTGCTGACTGGACTTCCAAGACTGTGATTATGTAGGTGGTCCACTAGGATCTGTTGTTCCTTTCCTTAGCTGAATTATATCAGATTCCTACCATGTGTCTCTAGTATTGAGGAGACTCATTAGGAAAGGATCCATCATCCATCCACATGCTCACATAAAACCCCCTCTCTCCACTCCCTACCCATAACCCACCCCCATACTAAAAACCGCAAGTTAGTTGTGCTTTTTGTCGTCTTTTCACTGGAGACCATAAGTTTGAGTTGAATTATTCAATGTGAGGGTCACAATGAGAGAACGTGGATCTTTCTTATTCTTGTGGACTGTGATCTTTCCTTTCAAGGCTTCACCTATAGAAGAAAGGTAAAAGATGTGTTTAAGAATTCAAGGAATACAGAAACAAACTGAGGGTTGCTGGAGTGGAGGGGAGTGGGAGGGATGGGGTGGCTGGGTGATGGACATTGGGGAGGGTAGGTACTATGGCGAGCGCTGTGAATCACAGACCTGTACCCTGAAACAAATAATACATTATTATGTTAATAAATAAAAAAAAACCAGAATTCAAGGAATACAGTGTAGCAGAAAAGTAATAATGTATACCTAGTACTTCTCTTTTATTGTTGTGAGATGTTTCACTCATTTTGGAAAAAATTAATCGATTTAAATTTTAGGGCAATTTTATGTTTAATTTTTGAACAAAGTAGATCTAAAAAATGAAAAAATTTAAAATTAATTTAAAACAAAACTGAATATTTAAAGCATAAATAACAACAATGTATTGGGAGATAATCTATATTTGGGGAAGTGAAATTTTTACAACAATAGCTCAAAGGATTGGAGGGGGTAAATGGAAGAAAATTACTGAGTCTTAAACTATAAATGAAATGGTGTACTAATGTTTGATGGTAGTCTGGTAAGCTAAAGAGGCATGCTGGAACTGGAGCGCAACAATTATAAAAACAAACCCAACACATGTAGTTATTTAGCTAACGGTGGAGATAAAACGAAATAATGAAAGAATATTCAATCAAAAAAAAAAGGTAAGAAGGAAAAAAGGAATAAATGATAGAGGGGATAGAGAAAAAACAAATAGCAAATGACAGAATTAAATCTAGTATCACAGATAATAACATTAACTGTAATGTGTTTAATATACTTTGAATACAAAGGGTCAAAGTAAAATGTAATTCTTTATTAATCATAGATAGTCTGAAATGGCAGTATTAATTTCAGACAAAGATGACTTCAGGAAAAAATACATAACCAGAGATAGACATATTTCAAAATGATCATTCAATTTATAAAGAGACATAATGACTTTTATGTATGATTGTATGACTACAGAGCTTCAAAACACATGATGCAAATCTGACAGAACCACAGGAAGACACATATAATCCACAATTATCATTGGAAATTTCACCTCTCCTGTCAATAATTGCAATAACAACTAGATAGAAAACCAGAAAGAATATGGAAGACTTAACACACTACTAGATATCCCTCATAAACAAAGATTCAAAAATCCTTTAGAAAAATATTACTGTCTCATAAAATACAGGAAAAAATCTGACAAAATTAATTTATAACAACTTTGAGCAAGCTAGCAATAGAAGGACTCTTCTTCAAGCTGATAAAAGGAATCTATGAGAAACTCCAGATAACATTTTATTTATTTTTAAGATTTTACCTATTTATTTGACAGAGAGAGAGAGAGAGCACAAGCAGGGGTAGCAGCAGAGGGAGAGGGAGAAGCAGGCTCCCCACTGAACAGGGAGCCTGATGTGGGGCTTGATCCCAGGACCCTGGGATCATGACCTGAGCTGAAGGCAGACGCTTAATGGACTGAGCCACCCAGGCGCCCGATGTTCTTTTTTTTTTTTTTTTTAATTTATTTATTTTAGAGAGAGAGAGTGCATGAGCGCAGGGGGAGGGACAGAGAATCTCCAGCGGACTCCACACAGTGATGAGCTCGGCTCCAGGACCCTGAGATCAAAATCAAGAGTGGGCCACTTAACTGAGCCACACAGGTACCCCACTCCAGATAACATTCTCAATGGCGAAAGACTGAATGTGTTCTTCCTCAGATTGGAACTGAGGTTAAGGACGGGCATTCTGACCACCTCTAATTAGTATTGTATTGGATGTACTAGTCAGGGCATGAAGGTGTGGGGGAAGGAATAAAAAAGGATATAGTTTGGGGGGGGGAAAAAAAAGAAGCAGAACAGTCTTTATTTGCAGACCACATGGTCTTATAGAGAGAAAATCCTAGTATGCAAAAAGAGCTACTAGAACTGTAAGATGGTTTAGCAATCTTAGGGTAGAAAATTGCATTTCTACATGTTAGCAATGTAGAATTAGAATTTGAAATTGAAATAAAAGCCCAGGAGCATTTACAACAGCATCAAAAAAAAGCATATAATATGTGAGATAAATGTAACAATGTATGTACAATGTTTAGTCACATAAAACTATGAAATAGTGCTAAGATCATAAAAGTACAGTTGACCCCTAAACAACACAGATTTGAACTGCATGGGTCCACTTAATTGTGTATTTTTTTTTGTTGATGAATATAGTAAAGTACTGTAAATGCATTTTCTCTTATGATTTTTTTTAAGATTTTATTTATTTATTTGACAGAGAGAGAGAGAGAGAGAGGGCAGAAGCAGGGGGATTGGCAAAGTAAGAGGGAGAAGCAGGTCCCCGGCACTAAGCAAGGCACCCCCTGAGCTGAAGGCAGCCGCTTAACTGAGTGAGCCACCCAGGCGCCCCTCCTTAAGATTTTCTTAGCATTTTTTCTAGCTTACTTTAAGAATATAGTATATAATACAAACACAAAATAAGTATTAATCGACTGTTTATGTCATTGGAAAGGTTTTTGGTCAACAGGAAGCTATCAGTAGTTAAGACTTTGGGGAGTCAGAAGTTTCATGCAGATTTTCGACTGTACAGGAGGTTGACCACATTATTCAAGGGTCAACTGTAAATGGGGACATACGTTCTGCTTGTGGATGAAGGATACAAACAATACAGTTAAGATGTCAGATCTCTGCAAGGTAATCTATAGATTCAAAACAGTTCCAATCAAAATCCTAACAGGCTTTTTTGGGTAAGAAATTAACAATTTGATTTTTAAAATTTATATGGAAATTTAAAGGATCTAGAATAATGAAAACAATTTTGAAAATGAACAAAGCCTGAGGACTTCTATCATCTTATGAAGACAGTGTCTAACTGGCATAAGGGCAGATACACAGATCAATGGAACAAAACAGCTCAGAAATAGACATATCCATATATGGTCAATTAATTTTTGACTAAGGAGCCAAGTAATTAAATTGGAAAAGGACAGACTTTTCAAGAAATGATGAAGAAACAGCCTAATGTACGTTTCGGAAAAAATAAACTATTACTCTTAAAATTAACAGGAAATACATTATAGACCTAAATGTACCAGGCAAAACTATAACATTTTTAGAAGAAACATGTATGAAAAACTCTATGATGTTAGGGTAGCAAAGATTTCTTAATTAGGACACAAAAATACAAACTTCAAAAGATATTGAGAAAATGAAAAGAAATGCTGGGATTTGGGATAAAAATATTAGCAACACATATATCTGACAAAGAACTTGTACCCATGTATATAAGGATTCTTTTAATTCGGTAAGTTGACAAACACCCCAATTAAGAATTCAGCAAAGTATTTTTAAGAGACACCTCCCACACACAAATTATACAAATGACCAGTAAACACATGAAAATATGCTCGACATCATTAGTCATCAGGCAAACGCTAATTAGAAAGACAGCTTACAGACAAAAGAATGACAAATTAAAATGGCTGACCTTTTTTATAAGTGTTAACAAGGATGTGGAGCAGCTGACCCCACTATGGTGGTAGGAACATTGAAAAGTGCAGTGATTTTGAAAAAATTTGCTAGTTTCCTATAAAGTTAAACATACACTTACCATAAGACCTAGTAAGTCCTTCCCTAGGCATCCACCCAAGAGAAATGAGAATGTATGTCCACACAAAGACATGTTTTTACATGAATATTTGTAGCAACTCCATCCATAACGGCCCCTAACTGGAAACAACAGTCTAGCAGCAGGTGAATGTGGTAAGTAAACTGTGGTATGGTCATATAAAGGAATACTATTTAAGAATAAAAAGGAACAAACTACTGATATACAGATGAACCTCAAAATATGTTAAGCAAAGAAGTGTAACATTTTAAAAGAATACTAATAGTTTAGTATAAGTAATACTAATATATAGTGACAGAAAGCAGATCAGGGGTTGTCTTGGTCTGGGGATTGGAGCTGGGAATGACTAATCACATAGGGGATCAAAGGAAACTTTTTATTTTTTTAAATTTTTATTTATTTTTTAAAGTTTTTATTTATTTATTTGACAGAGCACGCACAAGTGGGGGAGGGGCAGAGGGCGAGGGAGGAGCAGGCTCCCCGCTGAGCAGGGAGCCCAATGTGATGTGGGGCCTGATCCCAGGACCCTGAGATCATGACCTGCAAAGGCAGACGCTTAACTGACTGAGCCACTCAGGCGTCCCCAAGGAGGAAACTTTTTTAGAGTGATGTAAATCTTTTATCTTGATTAGGATGGTGCATACATTTGTCAAAACTCATCAAAGTATACAATGAAGATATGTGAATTTTTATTGTATGTAAATTATGGAAAAAAACTTTAACAAATGTGGCAACTTAGGAATAAACTGACTCAGAGATAAATGGAATATAGTAGAGAAACCAAAAGATCCGTTATGGCGATTTAGTACATGTAAGTGGGGCATTTTAAGTCACTGAGGAAAGAATTCAACAGAAATGTGTAAATATAGTAATACAATCTTTTTCAGTATGAAACCAAAGTCAGAAACCAAATGGAAAAGGTTAAAGACTTGATTATACAAAAATGAAAACAAAACTCTGAAGCAAGATACTCTAAAGAAAGAAAAGTAACTTGGGGCGCCTGGGTGGCTCAGTCCGTTGGGCATCTGACTCTTGGTTTCAGCTCCTATTGTGATCTTATGAGTACTGGGATCAAGCCCCCTGTCGGGCTGCACACTCACTCAGCAGGGAGTCTGCTTAGGGATTCTCTCCCTCTGCACTCCCCCCAAAATAAGTAAATAATTTTTTTAAAAAAAGGCAACTTAAAACACTATACTTTCACTTCTGAGAAGAGCAAATATTTTTTAAAAAGCAAATTTTGATTTGATTCCTTAGGATGAATGATCAGAAGTGGAATACTTTCAAAAAAGGCATAAAGTATATTCCAGTTTTACATTCCTGCCATCTTCATCAACACTGGGTGTTATTAGAAACCAAA